TGCCTCTACCTCCCAAGTGCTGGGATTAAAGCTGTGTGCCACCACCACTTGGTTATTTTTATAGACAAGGCCTTACTATATAACCCTGGGCTGCCTGTTAGGCCTAGAACTTGCTACATAGACTGCGTCCCACTTAAAAAAAAAATCCTAACTTTTTTCTGTCTTGAGACAATTTTAGATTTACGTGCTACTATAAGAAATGCTACACATAGGTCCCATGTGTTCATAGCCTAGGCCAATGATGCCTCACATCTAGTGTATACTTCAACCAAGACTGTGATGTTGAAATGAGCATCTCTGTCTCCAAGGCTGCCCCATTAGAGCCCCCTCCTGTCCCTCTTAACCTGGACAGCTGCCAATCTGTTCCACACTTCCTGAAGTCTGTCACTTAGGTGCTGCTGTGGAGATTACTAGAGGCCAGCGGAATGCAAGCTTGTAAGACTGGCTTTTTTTTCCTCTCTGCAGAATCCCCTGGGTGTCCATTGGCCTGCCAATAACTCATCTCTTTTTGTTGCTGAGTAATAGTCCAGAGGCAGATGTGACATCTCAAACATTTACCTGCAGACGAACATCTGGAGTCTTGGCAGCTTTTAACTGTTTCCCAGAATTTACAGTTCTGGGGGTCGGGGTGGGGGGTAGAAATCTGAGGTCAGAGAAGCAAACAGACTCGTGTGAGGCAAAGAATGTGGAACCAGAATTCAAACCATGGTCTAACTGCTAGAGCCAGATGGGACTGAAGGTGGGGAACAGACCAAGGAGGTTCTATGGGAAATACAGGGTCTTGGGACTCATTGATTAAGATGTCTTGAAAGCCAGGGCTGGAGACTTAAGTGGGAAAGGAAAGGAGCCCTGTGGAGCTATGGGAGGCTGTAGACCGCATTCCTAGGAGAACCTCTATTCCTGAGGGAAAGCAGATAGCCAGGTGATGGAGGGTAGCAACCAGACGGATTTGGGTTGCTAGAGTAATATCCAGATAAACTATCCATTCAGGAGCTAGAGAATGGAACTGAGTGCAGTGGTGAGAGAGGGGGAATCTTCTTGGGGAATGTCCACGGCCATGGATAGGCAATGCTCAGGAGAGTGTGCAGATCAGGGACGCTGGAGAGATCTCAGTTTAGGGGAAGGAAGAGATGGATAGCAACAGAGAAAGGAGTGGCAAGAGGAGAAACAGATGAGTGGATGAAGGCCAAGCCTGGAGACCTCAGAAGGCTGTCTGTCTGTCTGTCTGTCATCAAGTGCTGTCTAACAAGCTGACCTGATCACAGACACTTGCACATTCCTCTTTTCACAGTTCCAATGTGTCAGAAACCTGTGAGTGACTTGGTGGGATAATCTGGCTCAGGGTCTCTCTCAGGCTACCATCAAGGTGTCTGGCTGCCACCATCTCCAGGACTAATCGGGGACGAGACCTTTCCAAGCTCCTTTCCATGCTACGGATGGACAAGCCTGTGTCTCCCATTATTGGATGGGACTTCATTCTGTGGCCACCCTTGGTGTATTTCCTTGCCATGTTGGCCTCTCCACAGAGGGTTCACAAAATGGCAGTTGGCTTAACCTACATTTGGAAGTAGGTAAGAGCCAGAGGGAGGGTGCAGTGAATGAGAGAGAAACTTCCAGAACCAAATCTTGGAAGCTTTGCTTTGTGCCTGTGTCAGAAGCATGACACTCAAAAGGGATGGCATCAAGGGGTGGTGATGTTGCATGCCTTTAATCCCAGCAGCACTCGGGAGGCAGAGGCAAGTGGATCTCTGTGAGTTTGAAACCAGCCTGGTCTACAGAGCGAGTGCCAGGACAGCCAGGACTGTTATACAGAGAAACTCTTTCTCAAAACAAAACAAACCAAACAAAAAAGGAGGGCATGATCATGATGCAGGATCTGAAGACCAGATCTTGGGATCTGCCCACCCCTGGGAGAAGAGACCTACCTGTGTCTGTGCTTGATCTCAGACTCCCTGGAGCCATCTGCTGGGGAGAAGATGGCTTCTGGAGAGTATGGGGGGCAACAGACAGAGTGGGGGGGGGACAAGGAGTAATGTCCAGCTGTCCCAGCACCTCAGAGAGACACAGGCACACCCAGGGTCTCCAGAGGATCCCAATTCCATTGTCCAAGTTCTTTCCCCACCTGCCTCCAACCCACAGATCCAGAAATAAAAGCAATAATAAACACTGTAGGGCTGAGGGTGTGGCTCAGTGACAGAGTGTTTGCCAAGCTACAGGCCTGTCCAGCTCAGAGGTCATGAATGGGACAGAGATGGGGAGGAGATAAGAAGATGGCACCAGGAGTTGGCACCCCAAGGAACCCCTGTAGAGTGTTCAGAGGCAGGACTGAGGGGCTGGACACAGACTTTGGGGGCAGCACACAGGCGGGGTAGTAAGAACAAAGCTTAGCTCACACACTGGGCGCAGCAATGTAGCAGTTTGAGATGTCCCCTTGGGACAGGGGCACAGAGCAGGCAGAATGGTGCCCCTAAATGCTGAAGGTTTTCAAGATGTCAGGTCACCTGCAGGGGGATTGAAGCTGAGTTTCGTTGTTCTGTTTTCAGTCAGTCTCATTCTATAGCCCAGCTTGGCTTAGAACTCACTAGATTTCTCAGGCTAGCCTTGAACTTGTGGCAATAATGCTACTCAGCCTCCCAAGGTTTAGGACTGCAGGTGTAAATCACTGTGTTTGACTTTAGGTTGAGGACAGAGACTGTGGATCAGCAGACCTTGGGGTTGGGGGGGCTTGGCTGTCTGCAGTCAATGAGTCCTCCCCACAGAAGAGGAGAGTGGGGTTGCTGAGCCCCTCAGCACTTGGTTTTGAAAGACGGAACCTGAGCCATGGGAGTTAAGTACTGTGGGCACAGAAGCCCAGAGAAGTTAACCAAGTTTCCCCGACCCACAAAGACACTGGACAGAATAATAAACTCAGGCTAGACTTCTAGCAAGGTCATTTTCCCCACCCCAGAGTTCTCCTTCAGGTGGTGCTCAACCTTCCTAATGCTGTGACCCTTTAATATGGTTCCTCATGTTGTGGTGACCCCAACTATAAAATTATTTCATTGCTACTTCATAACTGCAATTTTGTTTTGTCTTTTTTTTTTTTCAAGACAGGGCTTCTCTATGTAGGCCTGACTGCCCTGAAACTTGCTCTGTAGACCAGGCGGGCCTCGAACTCATGGAGATCCCTGTCTGCCTGCTGAGTGCTGGACTTCAAGGCATGCACCACCACTGTCTGGCCAGAAGAAGTGTTCTTTATTAAGCATCTACAAAGAGGGACAAGTCTTAGAGTTCTGAATGGGACAGCTGCCCCACAACCCCGAGAGATTTGTTTTAGCCATGGAATATTGTACACCAGTTTTACACAAGGGAAAACACCCCCTAGACTCTTCCAATCCTGCATATCTGCCTTTCTTGTCAGAGAGAGAGAGAGAGAGAGAGAGAGAGAGAGAGAGAGAGCCCATGGAGCGGGAGAGAAAAGCAGAAGCATGCCACCTAAAAAGTGGGAAGAGATCTACCATGGTTAGCCATGGTTTAGGGGAGAACTCCTAAGGCAGGCCTCTCCCTATGGGTTAGACATCTGCTTTGGAAACTCCAGGGTGATCTGCCTGACCAAGGGAGGAATCCAAAGAGCAAGCCATAGACCATGCTCAGGACTGACTGCCTTAGGAGAGGGATCATGTTAGCCACAGCACCAAGAGATCCACTGAGTAGGGGCTCAGTAGACTGAGGCCAGCCACACCCCAAGACTACTGGGAGTGGTCCTGGGGTCCGCAGAGGCCTCACTGCTAAAGTACCCAAGGTAGCCCTGGTATAACCAGCAGAAACCCTAGGGTCCAAGACATCCCAATCCTGTCATGTCCAGACTCTGAACCCCAAAGGCCTGTCCTGTGGGGTCCACAGAGGCAGGCACAGGGGAATATAGGAGGCTATGAATTCCTGGTTTGGTGTCCTGGTCTGGTGTTACCTAGCAACCAGCCTAGGTTTCCTCCAGTTCTTGTGTCACCTCTCACCTGTTCCTGGCTGCCTCTCTCCTCAGGGCTCCAGACACCTTAGCTCCTGGTTCCTGGTCCTGTGGAATGGAAGGCTTTGCCTCCAGTGAGGCCCCGGTGCCTGGGGCAGGCAGCATTTCCAGGTGCTGCTTGGATTTGAAGTGTCTGGAACACCAGGAGGAGGAGAATACAACAAAGAGAGGCTGGCTTAGAGCTGCCCAGGGAGGGACAGAGCTGTGAACCGCAGGCCATCTGGAGCCCTTTGAGAATCCCCTGTAGGCATAGGACAGGGCTGCAAGCTCAGGTCTGGTCCTGGCTCTGTCACTGGGCCTTAGTAGCCTCATCCCTAGAATGGACATTACAGACAGTTGCTAGCGGCCACCCCGCCTGCCAGTGTGACAAGGATGTAACCAGAGCTCCTTATCTCTCTGGCCCCCTAAGGAATGGGGCAAAAGGAACATGGGTTGCCATGAGTCATGGTAGTGTTGGTAGCATTTCTGGAGGGCTGGTTACACGTCAAACACAAACCCAGGCACTAGACACTCTCATTTACTCTCAACAGCTCTAAGTAGGCAAGGCCATCGCTCCCAATAGCAACATTTTGATCACTGAGCTAGTAGAGTTCTCGGGAAAATGTACATCCGTCTACAGCAGTGGCTCTCAACCTGTGGGTCACGACTCATCGTGGACCACATATCAGATACATATTATGACTCATAACGCTAGCAAAATTACGGTTATGAGCTGGGCAGTGGTGGTGCACACCATGTCGATGGGAGCTTTTAAAATAGCTCCTGAGGCTAGGCGTGGTGGCACATGCTTGCAGTCTCAGCATTTGGGAAGCAGAGGCAGGAGGATTACTTCAAGTTAAAGACCAGCCTGTTTTACACAGTGAGTAACTGGCCAAGAAAAAAAAAAAAAAAAAAAAAAAAAAATCTGGTCACTTTTCTGAGCCAATTTTCCCTTAGCAAATCCCTTTTTAAAAAGAAAAAAAAAAAAAGGAGGGGATGTAATTCACAACACAACTACCTGTGCACCGAGGCTGAAGGCGCTGGTGATAGTTTCTGGGGGCCACGCCAGAAAACCCTGCAGCACCCCACATTGCGGACCAGCAGGGATCGATCCACCTAGGACCTGGTCCAGCACCTTCTGCGCAGACGCCGCACCTAAGCTCCTCAGACTCCAGGTGGCGCGGGTAGGAGGCGGAGCATACATTTGTCAGTCACAGAGGAGGCGGGACATCAGAAATACTGACTTCTGATTGGCTGGGCTCAGGCTAATGAGGTGACAGGCCCAGAGGACCTGTGGTGGGGGACGCGGTTAGGGGGAAGAGCTGGCTTACTTGCCATGAAGAGGACGTTTGTGGTGTGTTCACTCCTCGGGGATAATCCTAAATTTATGATTTTTTAATTTTTAATAAAAGCAATTTGTTAAGACTATAATTAATCAAGTTTCCTATTTGTCATCCATTTCTAAAAACCTCACAAACTGACATACGAGGAAGATCCCTGGTGGGACCTACTCAAGAGATGTTTGGTTTGTTTATTTTCGTATGATATTTTTGTTTATTTATTTGCCCCCTCAGTGCTGAGATGACAGGCGGGGACCATCATGCCTGGCTGTCGGCTTATTTATAAGGCAGCACAGGTTTGGGGGAAGGGTCCCACATTTCTCCTTTCCATCTTTCTCTCAGCCCCCCCTCCCCCCACCGTGTGTGCTGAGTCAGGGCAGATGTACTCATGGGTGCTTTTTGACAGCTGATGGTTAAGCGTCCACTCTCTGGTGGTGTGATGGACACTGACTGGAGTATCCTGATTGGTGCAGATCTGGAACTGCCTGCCCTGGAGAAAGCTCAGAGACAGTGGTAGGGCAGAGGCATACCTGAGACACCTAACTGTGGGAGAAAGGAAATGTGGCTGGTGCCTAAGAGGTGTGGGTTCCACTGTATAGACACAGCCCCTGCTTTGGAGCACTAGACTGAGATTAGAGCCAGGCCAGTGTAGATGATCCAGAGGACTGGATTGGGAACGGAGGGGTCAAGGGTACAAATGGAGGAGAGGTTGGTGGGGTGCTCTGGATAGCTGGGACACTACTTGCTTGTGTCTGATTGCTGTGGAGGTAAAAGTTCTGAAGGTACAGGGTATCTTTTTCTTGTTCCAGATAGAAAGCCAGCTGTGAATTAGAAGTGATAGGGGACTGAAAACATTTGTCACTGGAGAAAGTGTCTATGAAGGATGGGAAAACCCAAACTGCCAACCAACAAAGCTCTAATACAGTCAGCAAATGCCTGGTGTCCAGATCCAGGGGAGAGTCACGGAAGGGAGAAAGGGAGAAAAGCAGCAGGGAGGAGGGGGAGTGCTGCCCAGAGAGCTTTCCCAGTGGGCCACCAGGGAGGGCATGGCTGGGATTCTCATGCCTCGACCTGAACTTAGAGGGGGGTTGGACAATCTCACCAAAAAAGAGTGTATTTTCTTTTTTCTGTTTTTTATTTTTCAAAACAAGGTTTCTCTGTGTAAATTTCTCTGTTTCTCTGGCCAGGTTCAGTGAGAGACCTTCTCAGGAAATAAGGTGGAGAATGATCTAGGGAGATAGTCCCACCGCAACCTCTGGACTACACAGGTCCTGAGTGGTGAGCTCACCCCCGCACCCAGACACATACACACAAGTGTCTGTTCAGTGTTAAATGGATGAGAATGGTGCCCACCCGCACCTGGGCCTAGGGTGTACAGGGTCCTGCATCCTTGTTTCAAAGCAAATTTCACAGCAGGTTGTCTCCAATCTGGCAAATAGCCCTTTGTCCTGAAAGACAAGACCTTGGTGTTGCAGAGGCTTGGGGGCAGGGCTTCTACATACTGTGGGAGCTGCTAGCCTCTAAGGAGGTATGCATATACCAAGTGATGGGGTAAAGGTCTGTAGGACACCTGACCTGGCACTCCTGGACTAGCACCAACCTTTCTCCCCAGACATGGCCATTCCTGCTGTGTGAAAATGTAATGAGCAGAGGCATGGCTTGGCACTTGGACCCACACTCTAGCCCCTGATGTTAGTCTTCATGTGTCTGGTGTGGGGCAAGCACATGAACCAGCTCTCCAAGCCTGACCATGCTCACTGGTGACTCTCAGCCATTTGGCACTGGCATGGCTCCTGCAGTGCCAGGTGTCCATATGCTACCACTGCAGCCTCCTGACAGAGCCAGGATGGGCCTGGCCAGAGCTCAGTGTCCTTGACTTTCTGAGCCATCTGGGTGGTACAAACACTAGTGGATAGAAAGGACTGTAATGTGCCACATTTCCCAGCACCACTCCAGGTCCTGGGTATTTAATACAACCCTAACTGACAGTCCAGGTTGGAATTACCTTCAGTCTATGAAGAAGTAGAGCATTCTCAAAAGCCACAGCATCGGGATTCAAAAGCAGGCGTATGCCGGGCGGTGTTAGCATACACCTTTAGTCCCAGAACTTGGGAGGCAGAGGCAGGAGAATCTCAGTGAGTTCGAAGTCAGCCTAGTCTACAGAGCAAGTTCCAGGACATACAGAACTATTACACAGAGAAACCTGTCTTGAAAAAACCATAGAAAAAAAGCAGGTGTGGAGTCAGTGTGGTGGTACCATCCCATGATTCCATAACTTGGGAGGTATCGATAGGAGGATCAGGAGTTCAAGGCCAGCCTGGACTACATTAGATTGTCTCAAAAAAACAAAAACAAGGGACTGGAGGAATGGCTCTGTGGTTAAGAGCACTTGCTGCTTTTGTTGGATTCAAGTTTGGTTCCTTGCACCCATGTCAAGGGTTTTTACAACTGCTTTTAACTCTAGCTCGAGGAGATGCCACTCTCTCTTCTGGCCTCCAGAGGTACTGCATGCATGTGGTGCATATACATTGTGACAGATACATACAAATGCACGCGCATGTGTGGGCCCGCGCGCGCACACGCACACACACACACACACACACACACACACACACACTATAAACAATCATCTCTTTTAAACAACAACAGAATAAAAACAAAAAGCCAGGTGGTAGCCTATGTATGTCTGTAATCTTGGTACTTGGTAGATGGAAGCAGGAGGTTCAGGAGTTCAAGGCAAGACTGGGCTACAGGAGACAGTCTCAAGAAAAAAAAAAAGAATTAACACAAAACCCAGGAGGTATGTTTGCCCTCAGAGTTCATGTTTTCCCACAGACCCCCTATATCTTGCCTGGCAGTCAGGGGCCAAAGTGAAGAGGCCAAGGAATGGCCCCAGGAGCTGGTTGTAGCCAGGCCAGGAGAGAGGGTGACTGACTCCAAGAAGAAGGTAGAGCTGTCACTGGTGAACTCACCTGTGAGCAAAGACAGGAGCAGGAGCAGGAGCAGGAGACTAACAACGGGGTCTATAAGGTGATACTCACAGGAGGAGGGGCATAAATTTAGGAGGAAAATCAGGGTGAGTGCATTGGTAGATGTAGGCCAGATCTGGGGAGGTCCTATTAGAAGAGCCAGCCTTGGATACAGGAGTCACAATCTCAAAAGAAAAATGCAACATGGGTGACTTGGTGATGGGCCTTTCTCTCACCCATTAGGCAGGAGTTGGTGCCATAGCACCCTTCAGTGAGTGTCTCCTTTGCATGGGGTATGAAGCTATGCTTCAAGTTTGCAGTCTGGGGCAGTGTTCTGAAGACGGTTGATGACAAGTGGATCAAAAAAGTTCTTTGGGTATGTGTTCATGTATGAATGTATGATGAACATGTGTGGGATAAGATGTACATATGAAATGCATGTGTATGTTGGAGGGTGTGCAGATCTGTTCATGGAGGCCAGAGGATGTTAGGTGTTTCTATCACTCCCCTTTATTCCTTTGACAAGTCTCATTGAATTTGGAGCTAAGCTGTCAGGAACTTCCTGTCTCTGTCTTCCACAGCACTGGGGTTATAGGCCAGTGTAAGGGGCACACTCAGCTCCTTTTGTAGGCTCAGTGATCCAAACTCAGGTTTTCACACTTACACACCAAGGACTGTCTTCTATGAGCCGTCTCTCCAGCTCTGGATCCTGGAACTTGCTCTGCAGACCAGGCTGGCCTCGAACTCACAGAGGTCTGCCTGCCTCTGCCTCAGTGGTTAAGAGCACCACAAAGTGCTGGGATTAAAGGCAAGTGCCACCACCACCCAGCTCTGAATCTTTTTTTTTTAAATCAATAAAATAGTATTGTTATTTGAAACTTTGTCAGACAGTAATATACCATTTCATGAGTGCTAACAGGTAAAATATTTAATCTACTTTATATGTATTTGTTATAGACATTATAAGTATAAATACATGTATCTGAAGAAACCCCAGCATGCCCTGGGAAGCTTGTTGGGTTCCGGAAGACAGTGGAACTTATGGTACAAAGCTGCAGGGCTCAGGTTGTCTGCAAGGGTGTGCTGAGAAGAAAGCAAGACGCATGAACTGTCCAGAAGACAGCACTCCAGGATGGGTGGTAACCTCAGGATTATGACCTCTCACCCAAACCCCTTCCTTAGTTTCTTGTCTCGAGATAGTCTCAACACTATAGTCCAAGCTGGCCCGAAATTCACTCTGTAGTTCACAGGCTGGAAGCCAACTCCGGGTGGGCCTTCTGCCTCAACTTTCCTAGTATGGGCATTACAAGCTTCTTCAACTCTAAATCATCTCTCTTATTTGTTTGTTTATTTATTTATTCCTGCTTCTGGCTGGTCCACCCTAGTGGATCATTTCAGGCCTGCCATCACCAAAGGGGAGTCCAAGGCCATAACTTCTAGGAACACCTCCCTCTGACAATTACCTATGCAAATTTTATGCTGAGCAGAATTACATGATCTGCATGTAGATTAGGGCTATGGGACTTTTGCTGCTGGAGTTCCCCAGCCTCAGCAATGGCAGCAGAAGGGATGGTGATTGCAGGCACCAGGAGCAGCTGACTGGGGCAGAGGGAAGTCTGACTCAGCAGCAGGCCTTCTCTGGCTCTGCAGGGGTGACCTCAGGACAAGGGCAGGATGCCTGTGTGTCTGGATGTTTCCAGGTGCACTGCTGTGGTCAGTGGGGTTCTCAATGGGTAGCCACCTCTGGGCTGCCACGTGGGGATGGTGAGGGAGATTTTCTGTATTGGAGGATGCAGAATGCCGATGGAGCACCTTGAGTAATTGTCCC